ACGCGTTAAACGCCACGGCGTTATTGGTGATTTTGTTTATTGGGCCAAGTTGATATTTTACTTGTATCATTTTAAAAAATAAAATCGTCAAAATACAGATTAAAAAATAAATAATTAAAAAACTCTTGTATCTTCGTCAGCCGTCAGGGCCAAGCGGTCCTATGTATGCTTTAAAATACCTTATACGAGCGGTCCGCTGGCCAGAAAATCATGTTAAACTGTTAAACAAAAAATTGACAGGCGGTCCCTAGGGATCGCCGTGGCCTGGATGGAAAAAGTATTAGCGGTCCCCTGGGACCGCCGTGGCCGTTAACGTGTTAAATGTATACATAGTATTCATACAATAGTAACGTTATTAAATAAATCAAATTAGTATTTAATGCAATAACATTCCAACATAGCAAATAAATATCAATATGAATATCAATAGATTTAGGAGCGATAACTTTTGTTGTTAATTTAAAAACTGTAAACGATTGTAAACCAAGTGCTAGCTACCTATTGGTATTATAGGAACTGTTATTCAGGAATACGGATTACAAGATCCCATTGGTTTAATGGCTCACCCATTCATGCTATGCTAGCGTTTTTTCTGTGTACAACGTGTAGAAATCAGATAAACAAATAAATATTTTAAGTAACTTTTTTACCAAAACTCAAAAATAAGAGATTTATAGGCCTTCCAAGTTTAATTAAGTTTTGAGCCGGTCCTGGCTATTGTTAACAAAAAACATAACCATAAAAATAAAAATAAACATTGCAAAATGTCATCTATGACAACAAACATAACCATTTAAATCAAAATGAAATTTAGCAATGAAAAATGTCAGTTTTTTTGTGCCTCAATTATTGTTAAAAATGGTTCATAATTATAGCAATAATGAATTAGTGGAAATGTTACTAATTTATGGAGAGTGTCGTCAAAATGCAAATGCTGCAACTTAAGTACATTTTTTATTGCAAAATGTCAATTTATGTTTGTTGTCAAATATGACATTTTGCATTGTTTATTTTGATATTTTTATGGTTATGTTTTTCGTTAACAATAGCCAGGACTTGCTTAAAATTTAATTAAACTTTGATGGGCTATAACTTTTTTATTTTTGAGTTTTGATAAAAAAGTTACTTAAAATATTTATTTGTCTAGATAATTTCTACACACTGTTAAAAGGAACGCGTCAACTCACCCTGTATATGAAAATTTTAAATTTTGTGGTCATTTTTAAATTCACCATAAAAAGTTACCTAACTTATGTTTAAAAGAAGATCCTATTTTTATCTTTAGAAACCACATGTTAGAGTACTGCACACTATTTTCAGGAAACCCTGTATAATACCGTGTTTTTCATAGAGGTTTAGTAACTTTTAGTAACTAAATCCCCAAAATTTAAATCAAATTAAATCGTCAAAATGCAAATGCTGCAACTTAAGTACATTTTTTATTGCAAAATGTCAATTTATGTTTGTAACAACAACAACAACAGTTGTCAAATATGACATTTTGCATTGTTTATTTTGATATTTTTATGGTTATGTTTTTCGTTAACAATAGCCAGGACTTGCTTAAAATTTAATTAAACTTTGATGGGCTATAACTTTTTTATTTTTGAGTTTTGATAAAAAAGTTACTTAAAATATTTATTTGTCTAGATAATTTCTACACACTGTTAAAAGGAACGCGTCAACTCACCCTGTATATGAAAATTTTAAATTTTGTGGTCATTTTTAAATTCACCATAAAAAGTTACCTAACTTATGTTTAAAAGAAGATCCTATTTTTATCTTTAGAAACCACATGTTAGAGTACTGCACACTATTTTCAGGAAACCCTGTATAATACCGTGTTTTTCATAGAGGTTTAGTAACTTTTAGTAACTAAATCCCCAAAATTTAAATGCCAAGTCCAATAAAAATGGTGAAGTTCCCATGTAAAGTTAAATAAAAAACAATAAAATTACAAAAAGATCATAATTTACTCGGAACGGATGTTCCCACAAGAAATGCGATAAGCTTGCAATAAAATGTCCACTAATTAAGGTAATATTATTTTATTTTTAAATATTTCGACAGTTAAATCATTAATGATCACAGTGGGCAATTTCAACCATCTCAAATCAATATTTAGCAAGTGGTTTCCGTGGTGTAGTGGTTATCACATCCGCCTAACACGCGGAAGGTCCCCGGTTCGATCCCGGGCGGAAACACAACTTTTTTTTAATTTTATTTGGATTGAAACAAATTTCTTAGGGACAGGATAAACCGTTTTACCGTTATATGGAATGTACCTGGCTTAAATCAATATATTTGTCAGCCCGTCTAATATAAAAACCTTTTATTAATCGTACAACAATAGGAACAGCTACTTTTAAATTACAGTTAAAAAAAGCATTAAATTGGCAATTGCTCGGTATTTTAACTCAAAAAATTACATAAACAACAGATGAATGAAGTCAGCTGAACCAACGGCATTACACCGTCACTTGTCAAACATGAAACAAATTAGTTTTTTCCGCGATTTTTATTAGCTGCTCATATCACAATGCAGCAAAAATGCGCGCTTATAAAATCAACAAAAACTCGTCAGCGATGCAGTCATTCATAAATTTTGTTTGTTTAATTACAGAAACAATTGAAACCGTTTTTTCATTAAACTTTTCTGAAAATACTGTTTTATGTCTGCTTTCATCAAGCTCTGTAATTTGAATAATGTTTACTTTATAATTATTAAACTATCAATAACAAAAAAAATAAAAAATGTGCGTTCCTTATAAAATAATAAAAAAAAAATCAAAAAATGACTCGAAAAAAATAAAAAAGTTGTGCATCGGCCGGGAATCGAACCCGGGCCGCCCGCGTGGCAGGCGAGCATTCTACCACTGAACCACCGATGCTTGTGCAAGATTAAGCATCTAAACAGAACCGCAACATTATCTATAGCAACCTTTATTTGTTTATAACCTTCAAATTAACCGTCAAAATGACATACGAATGGCATTTAAAACGCAGGAATTCGCAGCAAAACGTTACAAACTCATTTAAACCGATAAATTTAGTTGACCGTCGCGCGATATCTGTTTTATTATTATGGAGAGATGCTATGCAAACGGGTTTAACGACTTTCCGAGCGCGCTGAAAGACGGCAAAGAGATCGAAAAGCGATAACCTAAACTACACAATGTCGTACAAATTAATTAAATGCAGATGCGTTTCTTCAAAGAAGCAAGAATAACTTCGGTTTTAATACGGTTTTTAGTCCTAATTTGATTATTTTTTGTTCAGATTCTTCGGTGGAAAAGCGCAGTTGACACTTGGTGACGTTTTTAAGACAAAAGAACATCGCATTTGGGGCAAAATTTGCCAAGTGTACCAGGTGAAAAAAAATTTGTCACCGATTTTGTTTAAACTTTACTTATTTGTTGTTGTTATAACGAAGAATCATAGCATAAAATTTTTTTGCTCTAGGATTGTTCATTCAAGAGTTATGGATTATTGAAATTTATCGATTTTTTACTTTTTGGTGAAATCGCTTTTTATTTAAAAATTCATAACTTCTGTTCATCTCTTTATTAAATATTTCAATTTAACCACCTTAAATGATTTTTTCCGTACTTTTCAATGGGCTATACCGTTTTTGCAAAAAAATAAAAATTGCAATTTTTTTTGAAATTTTGCAAAAATTTGCATTTTTTGAAACAATGTGTAGGTATTTTTTTTTTTTTCATATTTGAATGCCTCACGGTCTAGCCATCGAATAGCTACTACACTGCCGTATGCGTTTATAATAAAGTATAAATACCTAGTAGATGCGAGTAAACGAATACAAAATGATAATTTAAAATGTAAAATTTTGTTTGAAAAGTCAATAATGTATTTTAAATATTTAAACTGCCGCACGATATAGTTTTTTTTATTGTGTATTAGTCCTTCGGAGGGGACTTTAAGCCCGCGGTCCGTTCCTACCCCTAACCCGCACAAGCCATTCAGTTGGCTTATGGGACTTCTTAAGAAGTAAGGGTGGAACTAAAAGAGGACTTTTGTATATAAACTGTATTTTTTTGCACAAATTGTTTAAGCATGGGTCTACATAGATTTCGCAAGGAGGGTCGATGATATTAAATAAAAAATGTATTGTTATAACCGTAAAGGCGCCATTCAGCTTATAGGCAAGCCGTTACGGTTATAACAATAAATTTTTTATTTAATATCATCGATTCTCCTTGCGAAATCTATGTAGACCCATGCTTAAACAATTTGTGCAAAAAAATACAGTTAAAAAACTATATCGTGCAGCAGTGTAAATATTTAAAATCATCATTGACTACTCAAACATAATTTTACATATTAAATTATCATTTTGTATTCGTTTACTCGCATCTACTAGGTATAAACGCATACGGCAGTGTAGTGGCTATTCGATGGCTAGACCGTGCGGCATTCAAATATGAAAAACTTCCCTTCTACATGTCGGGCCCACTCTAAATTTTTTTTTTATTTAAAGGTAACATAATAAACTTGGATTTTATGCTATTTTAAAAAAAATTAAAAAATACACATTGTTTCAAAAAATGCAAAATTTTGCAAAATTTCAAAAAAAAATTGTAATTTTAATTTTTTTGCAAAAACGGTATAGCCCATTGAAAAGTACGGAAAAAATCATTTAAGGTGGTTAAATTGAAATATTTAATAAAGAGATGAACAGAATTCTTAAGTTATGAATTTTTAAATAAAAAGCGATTTCACCAAAAAGTAAAAAATCGATAAATTTCAATAATCCTAGAGCAAAAAAAATTATGCTTCGTTATAAGAACAACAAATAAGTAAAGTTTAAACAAAATCGGTGACAAAAATTTTTTCACCTGGTAAATTTTGCCCCATTTGCAAATACAAAGATGATATGATTTTATTTAAAAATTGTAATTGTTTTAAGGATTTTTGCAAGTTTTGTAAATTTTTTTCCAAACAGATTGTCGATGAAAAATCTTTTTTTAAAAGGTACTTACATTGGATGTTGAGTGTGGCAGGAGAGCTAGTTATGGACGGGGTTTTCCCCGTGGGGTCTGAGGCAATGCAGGTGAACTGGCCAGAGTCCCGTTCTCTGTCGACACGCGTTATTTTCAGACCAGATTCGGTTTGGTAGCGACGTGTTGTGTTGGATAGTTTAGAGCCTGAAATTATAAAAAGAAGAAATATTTTAAATAATTCTAAAATTTTTCTATTTTACTATATAAAAAACTGTATGCCATTTTGGTTGTACAGTCTACCTAAAAGACAATCACAAAGTTTTAGAAAGATTGACCGTCTGGTTTCCGAGTAAAAAATTATTAAAGTTGCGGGATGTTATCGTTTATTATTGCTAAACTGTGTTGTGAATGTTGATAAAAATTTATATGCCAATTATACAGGTATAGGTGCATACGGGAAAAAATTCATTGATTTCTTATTGTCATGTTATAAGATATGTGTTAATAAACATAATAATAATTTCAGCGCACGGTTTTGCAATAATAAATTATCAATTATCAATCTCTCATTTTCGTTAAGAAAATCCGGCACCATCAGTTTGATTCATTTGGTGACTACCAGAATTTCGTTGTTATTATTAAATTAATATTATTAAATTATTTAAAAAACACAATTGTATTGTTATTTTTTAATTAATTAGATAATCCTTTTACCTTTTATGGTTTTCTTATCTTTGTTTTCTGTTGCTATATTTTTGGTTCCCATACCTTTTTTTAATAATTTGTTTCACAGAACATAATAATTTGTTTTTTAACTCATTTTAGGATTTTAAATAACACTGCATAGAGAAATGTCACTGCAACTGTCAAAAGCCAAAAGCGTTATCATAAAAACCACTCTTTTTAATTCACGTTTCTGTGTTACTATATATATGTATATAGTGACTTTTGTATTTAAATAATAATAATAATAATAATAATAATAACTTTATTGTGAAAAACAGTACAATACATGTATCACAAAAGGAATGAGTTCAGCTTCACTGATCTTCCACTCACCCAGCAAACAAAAATAATTTTAAATTGCAAATAAACAATAAGTATATAAAAACTAACAAATATCAACAACATATTATAATTATAAGATTACAAAATTTCTTTGGCTTGGATCTAATACAAAAATACAAAATATTTATAAAATCAGTTAGAAAACTGCCTAATTTTTAAATAAAATGTAATAAAATGACAATAGTATTATGTATCAAGTTTTATAAACGCCTTTTTGGTAACGTTTTTATTAGTCACGAGCGAAGTGTCTAGAGAAGTTTATAAACGAGTTGCATACTATACTTTATCTAAAACGAACAGAATTTTAATTTGTTAAAAATTTTACATCTGTCAACTGTCACCCGAATTTAACCTCACTTTTTCCAATTATAGCTAACATCAGCCCGTGACTAAAAAGCTTAAAAGCCACTGTTTCTAATTTCAGCCCGTGACTAAAACGCCATGCTTAAGATAAATTTTACCAAGTCGATAAATCAAGTTAAAGACCGGATAGACAAAACGGATGATATGAAATATGCTTTTTAAATTATTGAAATGAAAAAAATAGGTTGTTGTTTTAGATTTTTACACGTGTTTCTTGAAAAAATAAGGGGTGAAAATTGTAATTTAATGGACGGGTTTACATTATTTATGGGTGTTTTTAAATTTAGTTCAGTTAACATCCTATCAAACAGTTTTCCTTCATGTTTAATATTTTACGCTATTTTCTTTAACATTAGATAAAATTCATTTAAATTAAAAACTTTACAAAAAAATAATTCATTAAAATTGGAAAATCTCTGCTTTCGTGGTCAACGTCACATTATAGTACATTTAAATAGTGAATCCTGAGACATTTTTTGACAATAACTTTTAAATTTACAGCAATGTTGCCAGATTTAAAATATTTACGCTCTTTTGGGAAATTTAATAACCATTTAATTAAATTAAATATTACACAGAGTTACTCAAAACTATTAAATATTTCCTATTTAGAATTTAATTTAAAAATAATATAATTTTTATATTATTGATGTAATTTTAAATTTAACAACATTGTAAACTTCAGTTCTGTTAATGAACACTATGACATTTTTTAGTTTTAAGCAAAGTTTGTTACATTTAACACTAATATAATACAAAATTATCCAAATATCTTAAGTGCATTAGGTATTCTTATATACAGGGTGAGTCATTTAACTTGAAACTTTGAAATATAACAGTATGCATTTTACGAAAAAATGTTTAAAATAAAAATGATTCGAGGGGGAAATCAATCAGTACTAAAATTGGTCCTCATACTCTCCTCCTTATAAGGGGAACAGGGGGTAACTTTAAAATTTCCAATGGAACACCCTAACACTAAAAATAGGTAGATTTTGTCTAAAACATTTTTTCATAAGTATTTGTAATAGATGGCGCTGTAATAAAAAAATAATTTTGATTGATTTTTCTTCTGTATACGATTCTGCAATAATTTTTCTATAAAAATATCACTTTTTTTGGTAATAATTATTTTATTAAATTAAATCTGATTTTTTTAAGTACCCACGATGTTTTAAATGATTATTGTACCATTTTTAATAAAAATACCTCATTTAAGGTAAAAAAAACATTATTTTGTCAATTAATTAATTTAATTCTAATTAAGGTATAAAAAATTGTATTTAGTTATAAATAATTATTATTATTGAGGTATAAAGAAACCATTTATAGTTTAGCATTATTTAATCAATTTAGTTCGAAGATTAATTTGCAAACAAAAAGACCTCCTTTCGTTAATGGATTTTTTAACAGTGGAAGAAAAAATAAAAATGATTTTGATTTATGGAGAAGCAGGCAGGAATCTTGATGATGCTGTTAATATCTACGCTCGGCGTTTTCCGGATAAAATTCGATCGCGTACTTCATTTCACCGTACAGTCAAGCAGTTTACTACAAACGGGAGTGTTCAACCGAAAAAAAGAGTTCGTCGAGCAAAAGTCACAGGTGGAAATAATACTTTAATTAAAATTTAAAAAGTATTTTATTCAAAAATTATTGGAGAATCGTATACAGAAGAAAAATCGAACAAAATTGATTTTTTTCATTACAGCGCTATCTATTACAAATCGTCCATTCCAAGCCCATGGACGGGACACATCAGAAACATGTCTAAATATATGCTTGTTACTTCCTTAAGTTTACTTATTTTTTCTACGAGTATTTATGAGAAGTATTAGACAAATTTGGCTAATACTTCTCATAAATACTCGTAGAAAAAATAAATAAACTTAAGGAAGTAACAAGCATATATTTAGACATGTTTCTGATGTGTCCCGTCCATGGGCTTGGAATGGACGAAATATAAAAAATGTTTTTGACAAAATCTACCTATTTTTAGTCGAATGATCCGAATCTGCAATAAAAAATAGGGTTTTCCATTGTAAATTTTTAAGTTACTCCCTGTTCCCCCTATAAGGAGGAGAGTATGAGGACCAACTTTAGTACTGATTGATTAATAATAATAATAATAATATTTATTGCTATTAATATCTTACAGTTTTTTTAAATTAAGCGTTTACAAAATATGAATATATTAAAAACAGGCAATAAATATGGTATTTTACACTAAAAATGTTAAAAACATTTGTGCGTGTAAATAAAAAACGAGTTATAAACATTTAAAAATACAAGTTATAAACATACAAATATACAAGTTATATAGATACAATACCTATTTAGTAAATAATAATTAGAAAAAAAGCAAGTAATTATATGAGTACCTTAGATGCAAAACTCGGTTTTTGCAAATTTAAAAATAAAAAAAAATTGGCTTTAAATTCTGTTTGGTGTTCGTCCTAGATAAATGGCGTTTATAAAACTTGATACATAATAATATATATAATATAATATTATTATGTATCAAGTTTTATGAACGCCATTTATCTAGGACGAACACTAAACAGAATTTAAAGCCAATTTTATTTTATTTTTAAATTTGCAAAAACCGAGTTTTGCATCTAAGGTACTCATATATTAATATTAATAAAAAAAATTGTACATTTTACATAAAGAGTGTTGAGTTACATTAAATTAAAGCGCTAAAAAGTAAATACAACAAAAACAATAAACAAAAATAATAAAAACAATATGAACTAAATATTTTTTAGATCTATTTGATTGCAGGTAAACTGTCTAGTGTTTTGCCTTACTTATATAGTTTTTGCAGAGGTTTTTTAATGAATTTAGTGTTACATTTTTCATGTTTTGGGGAAGGTTGTCGATTTCCCCCCTTGAATCATTAAAATTTTTTTTTAAACATTTTTTCGTAAAATGCATACTAACAGAGATATTTCAAAGTTTCAAGTTAAATGACTCACCCTGTAAAATTAATGATGAATTAATGAATTAATGAATTTTTATATTAATTATTGGTTTGAGAACAGTTGAATTTTTCGTTATTTTTTCAAGCAATAAAATGTTTCCAATATTTGAGGTTATTTTTTTTTATAAAAAGGCACACATGGTACCTACTATTGTTTATATTTATAAATACATTTTTTATTTTTGCTTGAAGCCACCTAAGAACAGCAGCAGCAGCTTCCTGCAATAAAGTTTTCTTTAAGCCTGCAGCCTCGGCCATAGAATTTTAATAGGGCTTATACAGCAGAAATGAAAGGGCGCGCATGTGTTATTCATAGTTTTTTTTGTCACGCGCTCCCAAACCGGGGAGGGAACGCTTTTTTATATTTATTACGCGACGTTTATTAAGACATGCCTAATTACGAAACTACCTACGCATTTATTTTTGTATAGGTGACACTGAAAAAAAGCAGGCAAGCATGAAAAGAGGGCTTTTTCAATGGAAAATGTATTCATGTTTTTAGTATTTTTTTGTAAGAAAAGTTAGTTACTTAAGATAATTAGATATTAAGGTTGTTTATTTGCTGTCTGGAAAATTAGTTTTCTAAAGGGATTTTAAAGGGTTTTGCACAGATATCTACCAACAATTATTTTTAAAATTGTGAAAAATAGTATTTTCTCATTTAAAGATAATGAGCTATAATGGGCATTTACAACGGGATGTGTGTTTTTTATGGATTTCCTCTGCGATATTCGAGAAACAAATTTCAGGCATAAGAAGTGGAAGTTGTCTATATAAAGTCTTGGAAACGTTGTTAGTTCCGCTAACCTTTTGAAGTTTAATATTCCGTGAATAACAAACAAAAACGGCGACAAAGGAGCATGTGCTTAACTACTAAAAACTAAAGTATTAAAATCTTTCTAAATATACTCACTTGAATGTTAGTTTTTCCAAAGATATAAATTAATGCATGTGTATAAGGAATAATTATTTAAAAATATTTAGACAGCTGAAATTATGATGGGATGTAATATTTTCTAAACAAACGGAAATAATCATAAAAAACACATAAATTTCTTAAACCGGCACATTAAATATGAAGAATGGTGAAGGATTTCATGAAGTAAAAACTTAAATCTTTATTTAAAAGTTTAAACAAATACGAAAATTATATTTATTTGTACAAGAAATAAGGTTTCGTTGGCAAATTCTAGGGACCCTAAAATTAAATTTGGCCACATTAAGTAGAACAAACTAGTTTAGTGGTTATGCTATAATTTTAAGAATATATTTATAAATTTTGAAATGTCAAATATAAGTTATTAAAAATGCAATAAAATTAGCTTTAATAAAGTATGTTTATAATACCTAATTCTTAAAATGACAAATGTAAAAGTATTTAAAATTAAGGGCTTCATCAGGGGTACCAATTTTAAATATTAAAAATACCAAGTATATTAACATAAAATACCAACATAATCAAATGTATTAAATTCCGAATAAAAAAAACAAACTTGTTTTTAAGTGCTATTTTTAAATTATAAATTTTTTTAAAATTAAAAGGATAAAATTTTCTAATGGCGTTTTAAAAATAAAAAGTTAAACTTTGTATTTTTTGACACCGTTAGAATAGCTCAGTTTAGCGGAAATAATTCAATAACTTTTTTATTACAAATGAATATTTTTTTTATTTTTTACTGTAAGACTTATTACGTGTATAACTAACTTTATCTAGGTACTACTACATTGACGAGCTGTGACTTTATGGCGTTTTAGTCACGAGCTTAAGTTAGCAATAGTGGCTTTTGGGCATTTTAGTCACGGGCTGAAGTTAGCTTTATTATAAATAAGGGAAAAGTAAGGTTAAATCCGTTGACAGAAAATTTGCTTTAAATTCTTTTTTGTGTTCGTCGTAAATAAAGTATAGTATGCAACTCGTTTCATAAAGAATTCTCTATAGACATTCGTTTTAATTAATCACTCGCTTGTAAGCTTCTATCATGCCTAATTAAACACGTAACTACTATAGTATAGTATAATATATTATATACCAAAATGTATCGAAAAAAACATAGGTTTTATATTTTTTAATGCGTTTTTAGATAGCCAAAGGCACCGTTTTGCGTAAATATTGTCGGCTCACTATTTAAATAATTCTCTTGGTATTTTACTAAAATTTTTTACTAATTTTTTACTAAAATATTTTAGTTAAATTATTCTAATTGTGTTTATTAATTTAAAATTCTTTTTTGACTAATCTGATAAGAAAATCAATGCATTGTAGAATTTTCTTTATAAACAAATAGGTATATATTATTATTTTTAGTACCTATAAATATTTATTTGAACTGTGTTAAGTAAGAATTATAACGCATACTTAATAAAAAACTATATTTTAATTGACATTTTTTAGTGTCACATTGACAATTTTTTTAAATGAAATATTACTGAGAAAAAAAATAAAAAAATATGTTGGTACCGGGAATCAAACCGGAGACTATACAGGATGTTTCTACTCAGAATGGACAACGTCTTAAGCTTAATTTGTCAGTTTTTCAATAAAATCGTCCGATAAGAAATTTTCTAATTTTCATGCATACGTTTTTTAATGACGTTTAACGGATTGATTTTGCGACAAATAGAAATTAAGTGTCAGTATATTCACTTACTAAATTTACCTAATTCTTAATTGTCATAGTTACAATTATGTCAACAATTGTAACTTTAACAGTTAGCTGTCTAATAAATTTAAAGGTAGGTAAATATACCTTATAAAAAGAATATACTAGCCCTAATATACATTAAAATGTATAGTTTTAAAAAAGCAGGTCCTTTTAGTTCTAGTTTTAATTTTTGTTTGTTTGTCCTTTGGTTTTTTTCGTTATTCTTATTAAATAAAAACTTAACAGTAAAACATTATTAACATAACGAACGTAATATTTTCGTTTTACAATCTTATTAAAAATATGAAAATATTTGAAAATAAATTATCTTAAAATAACGTTAGGCGACAAAAACAGATGTTTAGTGACGGATGAGTTAAAATTATTTAACATTTCTCTGTCAGACGTACGAAGTTGAAACTTGACGGACCGATAAAATGTCATAATTTTCGAATTATAATTGGACCAATAAGAGCGCTCCCGGATGAACGGACTGACGGACAAACGGATACATGAAAATTAAGCTTTATCGAGACTAACACTTTTTCAAGTAAATATTTTTCATTTGAGCTTTTGTTTTTATTTAAACATCCTTGTAAACCTCTTTTTTTTGTTTTGGAAAAAATAACACAGCAATTTTAGATATTAAAGTGACAATACAACCATAAATAACGGAAAAACTTTAATTTTTTAAAATACTACCATAAATAAAGGAGAAAAAGGTAAAAACAACAAAAAAGTCCATAATTTGATGGTACTTATTTATTATCCACCTTGTATAAATAAAATTACACAAATCTTATTCCGGGCGCGGAATTGTGCTCAAGCCCGCCTGAGCTAATTAAAAAACTTAATATTACTTACTTTAATAATATGTTTAGTTAAATATTAAAACGGCAATATGTTAAAATATATTTTTAAGGTCGTTTAAAAAATAAGCGTAATTTTTAGCCAAATTTAATGTTTTATAATTAAACAGAAGTAGGTAATATAATTTTTTTACCAAAACCTAGGTAGGTAGGTATTGGTTTAAGGTGTTTTTAACAAATTACCTTGATAATTAGCAAAATAAAATTTATTTAAAAATTTATTTTTCCCCGGTAAAGTTTTTTCCTAAACCTATGTAGGTATATGAAGAAAATAAATTGTATATTTTTTTAAATTGATATAGGTAAATGTAATAAAGTTTTTTTTAGTTGTATATTTTTTCTTACCGTTTAGTTCCCAAAAATACGTTATTCCCTCGTTTGGCGTCACTTCACATGGTAAAAAAACTGATTTTCCTTGAATGACGTCAGAATTTTGTGGACTTTTCACAAAATATGGGTCTTCGGCTCCGTTTACCACCAAAACTGTAAATAAAAAAACTGTTTTTACTTCTGTTATTTCAGGATGCAAAAAGTAAAGCTAAGATTTTTTTTGCCCAACTAATACTTTTTACACATAATTGACATTTCTTACACGTTCCTAAAAAAATATGAATTTTACATTTTATTTTTACTTTTTGTCGGGCCACCAAATTTTGACTTGCCTTTATGCACACGTCCATAAAACTCTTAAAACTAATATCTTTTTGCGGAGCATAACAAATTGAGAGAAGGTATTTGTGTTTGGCAAAAAGTTCGGCGTGAAATTAAGTTTAAAACATCGCTTTTACGTCCTTTGTTTCAAACTTTGTCTGCAAAACATAAACCCAAAAATAATTGTTGTGTACCTACTCAAGTTTTACTGATATTGCTCTTTTCGTTTACAACCGTTTTGCAGTAGCAATTTTGTAATTTTCTTAATAAAAAACAAACTTTGTAGGTATTATTATTTTTATTGTGTATTAATTTTGTTCTTAAATACAATGTATATTATACCTACAAGAAGAACCAAGTTTATTTCTATGTAAGGGTATTTTTTTTATTTGAAGAGTTAAAAGGTTGGTTGAATTAGAGAAAAATTACGTTATTACAAGTCTACTAAAATGGCATTAAAAAATCAACAAACATTTTCATCCAAGAATATTTGATGAAGATGGCACTATTTTTATTGATAGGCAAAAACTTGACCTTGAAACATTCCCAATTAAACGAAGTGTTCATTAATCAAAACCATAAACTTTATTTATTTTTCTTCGAGACCCCTCAACTTTTGTTGTTGAGGGTCTCAACAACAAAAGTTAATTAAAAAACCTGGCCCCACGAACTAATTTACTTTTTATTTATGATTTTTTGTTTTTTCAGCATCGTCTAAATAAAGATTTTGAAGCGAGATGCTCGTAATTAATGTGTATTTTAAATTATAACATGCCAAGTCGAAACATAATTATACCTCTCTACGACCTACCCGAACATTTTTTAACATTTCAAACTGTCAAATTAACATGAGTTACGGCTCGAGCTTATGCGGGGTCAGTTAAACTTTCGCAAAATAAAAAAATGCTTATTAGGTTGGTACCTACAATTGTACGAACTTATTTAATAAAGAACCGCCATTGTTCCACCAAGGAATGGAATTCTATTCAATAATTCTTGAATACCTTACATTTGCCATTCAAAACCTTTTACAAGCCCATTTAGTTCCATTATTAGCCCAACTAAACCGTTAAAAACAAACAAAAAACCCTTACACGATTGTACCTAATCAATTTACCTTTAATTTAATGCAGCCAATATGCGATAGATCATCGCAATATCAAGTTAATATTTATTTATTGAAGTGATATGTGTTTCACATCGATTTCTGTTTATTTACTCATACATCAGTGAAGATTTATTGCTCTATTTATTACAGATATCAAACAGTTACTATTTCAATTATTAAATAATCGATGAAAAGTATTAATTTTGTTTAAAATTTATCAAGAAGGCCATTATTAATCTTTGACAGATTAAAACTGACAGCCAAATGACATTTAATTTTCAGAATTAATAGTTATTATTATCAAAACTATACTAAAATATATATACATACTAAACATATTTTGTTAAATTAAAATAAAAAAAGACTAAAATAGTATTGATTAAACATTTTATTTTAAGCCCAACTCAATAAATACAATAATATAAACTGCACAATGATAGGTACTTTTTTTTAATTCTAAAACGCTGAAATATAGAATATTTTGCTTCTATATTTTAGGAGCATAGAAGATAGAAGATTTTCGTTAAATAAAGAAGACTTCCATTAAATATAGAAGGCCTGGCAAACCCTTGCTTTAAATAACAATTTATTATATTAAAAATACCCTTTAGAAAAATAATATTGCATTTTAGAACATTCAAAATGCATGTAAAATGTTAAAAACAACATTGAAAGAATTGAGAATGTTAAAAACGCATTTAAAAATAAATTAAAACAAAACACATTCTGAAATGGGTTTTTTGCGTTTTTCTACAATAACGTTTTAAGTGAATCAACCAACAAATACACTGCAATTATTTAACTTTACAAACAAAATAAAAAATAATACCTACCCATTGTTAAAAATATAATTTTATTAAAATTGAATTTTAGTAGGTATACCTACTAATATTGTAAATTTTTTAAAACAATTAAAGAATTTAGATTGTTAAAAACAAATTTAAAAAATAAAAACAAATACTTTCTGTATGTTTCAAGCCTTCTTTTGCGTTTATACCTATTCAATTTATAACAATATACTGCAATTCTTTAACTTTAGAGAGGAGTTTCACGTCCCCACACCGAGCATATGCAAATATTTCTTTACTCACCAATCGCAAACACACAAAACGCACGAATTCCTTCCATTTTAGCACGAAAAAACGATTTCAAATAGTCACAACGCACCAAAAATACCTAGTTTATGTCACATGTCGTTTGAAAAACGAACGAAAATGCCGAAAATTCGAGACATAAACAAACAAACGAAAGTCGGTTGCTAGCGGCAACGTAATGCGCGACACCGACAGACAGAAACTGACTGAAAAAGCTTCCACAGCCGGCTTTTCACTTCGTTGGCAGCGTTGCCCGATCTACTGTTCTGGATAGCTACGAAAGATGAAAATTGTTACATTTTTTCCCCTAATTTTGCAGTTTTCATTAATTTTAAAAATGTTTTATTTTATTTTAAATTTAAACAATACCTACGTTTTACAAAATATCGTAGACAACTTAAATACCTATAATAAGTAAATAAAACACAACTTTAAAACACATTTCAAAATTATAAACATTTTAAAATATTAAATTACATTTAAGATTATTAAAAATACATTTAAGAATGGTTTGAATTTCCTTTTTGAAAATACATTTTAAAAGGTTGAAGGTAAATTTTAGAATGTTAAAAACGCATTTAAAAATGACAAAATTATTTTAAAATATTTAAAAACACATTAAATTCATTTTTCAGCACTTTTTAAAATGTGAGAAAACATTTTAGAGTGTATTGTACCTATCGTATGTTATAAATTCAAAAATCTAGAATTGTTCACGATAAAACATATAAATAATTTATTTAAAATAATAAAAAAAATAATAAAATAAATTATTTATTATTTTAGCCACAAATCTGCCTGATTGGAAACTAATCCGGCAACGCTGGTTTGTGGGCCTGTTTATTTGAATTTCTAATCGGATCTGCACGAAGATTCACGAATATTATTAATTTTAAGGAATATAGGCAACTCACATTACAGTAATACGTTTAAATAGTTGGCGATAGGTGGCGCGTTGGTAAACGTCAAATGCAGTTTTCTGCAGTTCCACGTTTGACTTGAGAACTATGACAGCTGTCATATTAACAACAATAATTTGGTTTATAGTTAAAACACGTATGTTATTCCAAAAGAACCTTGTATAACTTTTTTTGTAAATATCTTGTCTAGTCGTAAATTTCCAGTATTATAAAGAGTTACTGCGGGATTGGTGTTATTCTAATAGAGTGTTAAATCAAGGTTATTTTATAGTGATTCTTCTTTGGAATTACCCAGTTTTTAACATCTATCGTTGTGTTATGCAAGTTCACATCCTTATCGGGGATTTTTTACGTTTTATTTTATACTGAAATGGCCAACAATAAGTGCAAGGTAATTATCATAGAAAAAGGATATATAATTATAACTAAAAAAATAATTATATTTATTATATATAAATATTATATTATAATATATTAATAAAATGTAGGAATGTGGCTGTGTGTGCAAGAAATGCGGGGATCACGATGTGCAACTTCACGTGGAAATAGAAAATCTTAAACAGAAACTGTTTGAGAGAGAAAATCACATCGTAACAATGGAAACAAATTTTCTAAACGAAGCTAATAAATTCCCCAGTGGCGAATTGGTGGCTTTAAGAGACGAATTACTGACATGGCAGGATAAGTATAAAAGGTTTGTGTGCCAATTATTAAATTAAAATAAAAACTTTCTATAATAAAAATGGTGAAAGTTTTTAATTATTTAAATGTTTTGTTTAAATTTATGTCAAAAATTAGTAGATTTTTACACCACCTGTTTGTCTAATTTTTAAAATATTTTTTAGGTTATATGATGCTCATCGGAGAGTCCAGAGAGTAAACCAGGGTCTAGAAGACAAACTTTTAAAACTTGTTGACATTTGTGAGACAGATAAAACCACCCTAACCAAAGATGTAGCCACTTTGTCACATAAACTGGCCGAAGCTAACTATGCGGTTAAAAAATTAACGGAAGATAATGTAAATGTTTTATTTTTTTGTGTATTGCTTCCACTAACGTTTTTTTTACAGGAGAGATATAAAAACGATTTATCTTTGGCTGTACAATTCCTAAAATGCAAGCAAAGTAATTTTGTGTCTCAAAAACTCGATTCTGTGAGTAAATATTTTTTTATAAAATAGTATACAAAAACCTTTACCCTCTTTTTCTAGTTGGCCCCGGAAGTGCAATCTCAGGTTTCGATGATGATGACGTCGTCGACGTCGACGAAACGGAAACCGGAAGAGAGGCGCACGCCGCCGGAAATGCGCAGCATAAAGGTGCCCATACCCACATTTCCGCCGACCGCGATGGTGTATTCCATACCGAAGTCGCCGAAACCGGAAAGAAGAGTGGAAGTTGACGAAGAAGCGCCTCAAGTCGATATAGTTTCTGCTGCCATAATGGCTAAGGTAAAAATTTGAGATTTTTTAATAAAAAATGTTTTTTCAAATTGTGTGTATTTATTTGCCGAAATAATAATGGGTAAACAATTAAAATAAATAATAAATAAAACATGTAAATATAATGTTTTTTATATTTTACATGTTTTATTATTTATTTATTTTAATTGTTTACCTATTATTATTACCGAAAATAAATACACAAAAAACATTTAAGAATTCCAAATTTCATTTTACAATGTTAAAAAACATATTGGAATTTTAACCATTTTAGAATATTAAAAGTACATTTTAAAAGGTTAAAACTGCATTGTAGAATCATAAAACACGTTAAAGAATGACAAAAACATTAAAAAACATATTTAAAATTTAATATATTTTGAATATTATAATATCTGCATTTTTTTAAATTTCAGGGTAAAAAGTTTACTTTAGAAAAGTGCATTTTAGCATGTTAAAATGTCAAAACTAGTGATGAGCAAACTGTGATATTTGATTAACTGTTAGCAGTGTTAACACTAAGGCTGAGAATTTTTTAGTTTTAGAAATTCAAATACTCGAAAATTATATCGAGTCCATAATAAAATGTACTACATATTCAAATAATCGAATTTATAAATATTCAAATATTAAAATATTTACCAGGTCCAGTGAAATTTAACTAGTTTTAGAGATTTTTGAGCCAATCTGGAGATTTAATAAAAACTTCTTATAATATTAATTATTGTATCTGTTTTTTACTTATCAAACAGATATCTCTAGGCTATAAATTTTTCTCCGCAAAATTAGCCTGGAGTACCCTGGCTAGACTTCGCCTTTTAAATAATGTATGCATTAATTAATAATAATAATAATAATAGTTATTTATTGATTATCATAATTATAAAAATAACAACAATCAAAAGGCCATTGACCTAGGTCCTTCAGCCAAGGTTAATTAAAATATAAATGTAATGTATTTGCACTTGTTAGAAACCAAAATTGAAATTGAAATTAATATTATTATTATTATTTACAAAAAAAACGATTTTTTTGGAGTCTCCTATGAAATAATATTAGTTTATCATGATTTCAAAGCTCTCTTTAAAAATCAACTTAATTTATTAAAAAAAAATAATGGTCGCACAATAATTTTGGAAATTCTAAAAATGGTTAAAAATTTTGACTCACAATTCGAACAATTTTTTGGTCAAAATTCGAAAAAATGTTAGCTTGCCACGTTTCTTAAAGTTTCAGCTCTGAAGTAAAATCCACTTACACCCTAGATAATAATATAAAAAGCCACAAGGTTGGTTAAATTAGAGAAAAGTTGCGTAATTTCAAGTGTATTAAAAGGGAATCCAAAAATTGGATAAAATATAAGAGGTTCACAAATACTAAAATAAAAACTGAAAACGTAAATTTTAGAAAAAAACGAGTTTTACATGTAAAGTTTACATGTAAACACACATTTATCCACATTTTCATATTGGATTTTGATACCACCACCATCTTTTGTTTTTGCTATGGCCGCCATATTGTAATATGGTGATGGTACCTAACTAAAAACATAATAGCAAAGAAATTGGATGAACATTTATATTAATGTGTATGTTGACATGTTATTGATAAACATTATAAATTCCCAAAAAATCTCTGCAACACTACAATTTTTGTGCTTTGGGTTTGTGCTCTGTTTATACAGATTAATAATCGTTTTAAACGTTTTGTTTCTCATAGTAAGCCTTAAAAGAGGCCTTAAAGTGCTAAGAACAACCATTTTACGCCTCTATTGTAAAAAATAAACTTTATTCTATCAGGGCTGTCATAAAACTGTCAAATGTCAATTTTAAGGTTCAATTATAACCCACAAATTAACCTTCAAATTGTCATTTGACAGCCCTGATAGAATAAGGTATATTTATTATAAAAGAGGAGTAAAATGGTTGTCCTTAGCACTTAAAGGCCTAATTTGAGGCTTACAAGTGCCTCTGTAAGAAACCCAACGTTTAAAACAATTATTAAACAGCACAAACCCAAAGCACAAGAATTGTAAACAACAAAAATGGCCGCCGTTAAACTCTGTGCAGTGTTGCAGTGATTTTTAGTATTTTTAGCATGAGATAGAACAGACCTTGTTGTGTGGATTGTGGATGTGCTATTATAAGTTAGAAAAATTGAAACATTTTATAGAATAGGAAAATCTCTGTATGGGACTTTTTAGGTGCTCGAAGAAAGACAAAAAGAACGATTAGCAGCCAAACATTGCGACACGTGTACCTGTTCGAAAAATCTAAAAATCATATACGACATCACACATCACAGTATCGGAACGCAAACAGGAGATTACAAAGAAACAACGTGCATCAGATGTAATGACGTCATGAACCTCAATAACTCAACAAGTAAGAAAAATAATATTGCCGAGGTCTTTGAATTTAGAGTGAAACATCTATAACCATATTTTTTCAGGTGTAAAACTAGTTCGTAACGTAGACCTACAATTATCTCAAACAAAAGTGCCAACAACAATCGAAGCCGTGGAAACCTCGCAGCAACAAAACGTCGTCAAAGTGCAACCAAACAATTTTCTACTGGATAACAAATCGAAAACAACGTCAAACAACAGCACCTGTCCAGTCGACTTGATAACCCCCATATCCCCCAAAAACGACCTCTCCAACTCCAACCAACAGTTGCTCAACGGCCCCGAAGTTATGTTCTACAACGTGAACGAGGTGAAAAAATCCCCGAAAATCGAAAACACCCAGTACGAAGAAAAGAGGGACACGGAAAAGGTGGTGGGGCCTCGGTATTGCTCTATGCGCACGCAAGTCGGCTCGAGTAACATCCTGTTGGATAACACGTCCGGCAACGTGGCGCCGGTGCTGTACACCACGCGGCAAAACGGCAACGTGGCGAGTCACGTTAGAACGGCGCAGTCGGCAAGGAAGGCGGCAACTGCGCAAGCGCGCGAAGGTGATGTTGATTCGTTGCCTAGCGACGAGAATTCGGCGCAGACGCGGCAGCGTGTCGCCGAGTGGATCCAAAGCACCGTTGATAACGACGTAAGTGTTGTATTTGTTGTTTTTCTTTTAGTTTTTTTTCGTTTTTCAACAATTTTCTTGTAATTTTCTAAAAGTGTTTTTGTGTTTTAATTTTCATTTATCAAGTCAAATTTTTTTTTAATTTCTTTTACAGGATGTCCCAAAAATGACAAAAATTGAAAATAAAAAAATAAAATCCTAAATATAATGTTTATTTTTCGATATGCTGACTTTAAATTGTTTCCAAAGCAACTTTGGATGTGTAAACATAATCCACAAATTTACCATACCCACAGTTTAACCTTAAAATTGATATTTGACAGTTTAGTAACAGCCCTGATAAAATAAGGTTTATTTTTACAAAAGAGGAGTAAAAGGTTGCCCTCAGCACTTAAAAGCCTCTTTTAAGGCTTACAACTCGACAAATCTAGCTAGAGACTTTAAAAACTTGCAGTGTGCGCACAGCGGCGTAACTAGAAAAAGTGCCGCCCGGGGCAGCAGTGGCTGTCGCCCTCATGTTTTTTTTTGGGGGGGGGAAGAGAAGTTAGGTTAGGAGTCAGTTTTGAGGACCGTACGCAAAATTAAAAATATATAATTATATACAGGGTGTTTTATAATATATGCGCAGGACTTCAGGATGTGATAGCTCATCCAAAAAGATGAAAAAAGTCGCTATTAAGTTACGCTATAAAATGCACAATTTTCGAGATACAGGGTGTTGAAATTTTAGAAAAAAATTCGTTTTTTTCGAATATCTCCGGAACCGTTTATCGTACAAGAAACAGCTTTTGTAAGCATTTTCTACTCAAAATAAGCTATGTTTTGTGCTAGAAAAAAATTGTTTTCCTCATAATTGGTGGAGATTTTGAAGGGGTAGCGGGTGTTTTTCTTCTCAACTTCTACGCCCCTAAAAAAAGTACAGTTTTGAGAGGCCCATTCGAACCGCCAATGTTTTCTACACAAAAAAGGTACTCCTGGTCATAAGCTCTAAAGTTGACCGTTTTCGAGAAAAATCAACTTTTATGTTTAAAAACATGGTCAATTTAAAAAAAAAATATTTTTTTTTACTAATTAAATAAAATTTATTTTAACGTTAGGACAAGTAACAAAACCAAACCATAATTGCAAAATAAAAAATGATTTAAAAGTTGTCTTTGCTTAATTCTCCAAACCGTAAAGGTAACGCATTTCGCACATTTCAGCATTTGAGTAAAAAATCATTTTTTATTTTTTTTTTAATTTTGCAATTATCGTTTGGTTTTGTTACTTTTTCTAACGTTAAAATAAATTTTGTTTAATTAGTAATAAAATTTTTTCTGTAGAAAACATTGGCGGTTCGAATGGGGCGTTGAAGTTGAGGAGAAAAACACCCGCTACCCCTTCAAAATCTCCACCAATTATGAGGAAAAAAAATTTTTTTCTGGCACAAAACATAGCTTATTATGAGTAGAAAATGCTTACACAAGCTGTTTTTTGTACTATAAACGGTTCCAGAGATAATATAAAAAAAACGATTTTTTTTCTCTAAAATTTCAAGTCTTGCGCATATATTATGAAACACCCTGTATATAACATATGTATAACATTAAATTGTAATATTTTAAGAATTAAAAACAAACAAAAATTCTTAGACCTAGGTAAAGAAAAACAACTATTTTTTGCTAGCTTTATTTGATTTGGAATATTTTGGGAGTAATTGTATAAATCTCAAATCTATTGAAATTTGAATTATATTATTTCGAAAGAGAATATTTAATTATCAAATATTTTTTTTATTTTTATATTCTGTCTTCCAGTTTTTTTCGCATTTTCTCTCACGATTTTTGCCGCCCCAAGAAGTGCCGCCCGGGGCGGACCGCCCCCCCCCCGCCCCCCCCCTAGTTACGCTACTGTGTGCGCAAAACTTTAAAGAGAGAGAACGCATTCGGAAGAAAAGAGATGCATGATACGGCCGATCTCGGCTGCACAGAGGACTAATAAAGGTTTAAATTTCAACATTATTAAAGTTATTTAAAAGTAAAAAATAGTAAATTTTCGAGTTATTTATATCTACAATTAGAATAGAATTATATGTATTGAAGGTAAACAAGAATTTCTTGGTGGGTAAAAGAAAAACTAATACCCCAGCAAATAGCGTACAGGTTATAGACAAATGTCCAACTTGAACGACCAGAAAAGATGACAAAGAAATGGCTAAGAGAACGAAATATTCCATTTTCAGAAGATATGTTAAAAGCAGAAGTATATTTTTTAGTAAAAGCTCATAAACCAAAGTATAAAATATACGAAATGCAGTATTCACCGTTTTGAGGCTTCCTCCATATCACCCATATTTAAATCCTATAGAATATATCGAGTTAGTCTTAAATCCCACCGAGTTAGCCTTAAAAAAATATTTTGCTTAGAGAAATGTAAACTTTAACTTTACACATGTAGATAAATTGTGTGAGGAGTTTTTTTCCACATTTTCCCAGGAAGAATGGCAGAAGCGATGACAGCACGCTATAAAGTTTGAGAAAGAACCGGTTTTGGATTTAGTCGTGGATGATTTAATTATTAATTTTCAAGAGGACAGTGACAGCGAGGTAACCAGCGAAGACAACAGTTCGGACGAATTTGATCCGTTGTGGAAAAAAAATTTAATAAATAACAAGATAATATTAATAAATTTTTTATACTTGATTTACTTTTATTTTAATCCAATGTGCGGAGCGTTCTTTATCCTAAGGCAAACTCAATGCAAATGACAATTTTAAGAGCTGGCAACTGCGCATCGATGGGCGTGTACATTCCACGTCTCTAGCTAGATTTGCCAAGCTGTACAAGTGCCACTGTAAGTAACACAACGTTTAAAACGATTCATGATTTGTATACACAGCACCGCCGTTAGAGTCTGTGCAGTTGGTTGCCTAACTTCGTGATATTTAGTAGGCACGAAACGAGATAGAACAGACCTTGTAGTTGTAGTTATTTTTTGAACACCCTGTATATACGTGTCCTTTTTTTACAAGCTTTATTTTTGTTTTGTTGACGGTTTTTTTTCAGAGCATGTAGAAATCAAATAGACGAAAAAATATTTCAAGTAATGTTTTATCAAAACTTAAAAATAAGAGAAAACAGCCTTTCAATGTTTAATGAAATTTTAAGGCCTGTCCTGGTGTTTAATTACAGTACTCAAAGATATCTTTGACAGTATACCGTCTAATAAATGTAATTTTAATGTAATTGTGGTTATGTAACATAACTTATGTTTAAATCATTGTAGGTTACATTGAACGGTTGTCATTGACAACTTGTCAAGTTTCGTAGTTAAAAATGCAATTAATTTGGCTTTGGTGGATGAGTAAAATCATATTATAAAGTAGTTAAATATAGGTGACTATGCCCCAAGAGAGACAAAGTATACCTATCGGATAATAATCTTCGCTTTGAAAAGAATTTATATAAAAGAAATTAAAATTTTATGTCAACACACTTGAATGTTATCCAATCATTGGACTCCAATGGTGAATGTAAAACCAAAAACTTTACTTTTTTGCTTCAAAAATGTCCATAAGGAGATGTACCTTTTCTGCCATTGGGGCATTTGGCATAATTTCATCAATGAAGTTTTGCCCTTAAAAGTTCTTTTACTTTAGAACCTGATATTATTTTTGGTATATTTATCTTTTTAGTATTTAATTAAGGTCTTCAGTAGAAGTACCATTTTTAAATAATGATTAGTATTTAAAAAATGGTACTTAAATCAAACTGGCATAAGCTACCTAAAATGAACTGTATCTTTGGAAAAAATTAAAATTAAAATGAACAAAAGTTGTTAACCTGAAAATTTGGACAGTGACAAGAAAATACAACCTAATTTTTGGAACATAAACTCAAAATTGTTGCAATTGTCACAGTGCACTAAATCTTGATAATGACATAACACAATTTACACAATAAACTTTGAAAGGCTGTTCTTCTCTTATTTTTGAGTTTGGATAAAAAATTTACTTGAAATAACTGTTTGTCCATTTTATTTCTACACGCTGTTAAAAAACTCAAAACTCACCCTGTGTGTATTTTTAAGTGAAACTTTGCGGACGGGTAAACAAAAACTTGAAAGATGAAAAGGAAATTTCGGGTCGTATAAGAAAATTTGCAACTAGATAAATTAAAAAAAAAATGGTAGGACAAATTCGCACAGCAGTTCAAAATTAAAAAATAGTAGGAGAAATCCGCTTTAAAATTAAAATTTTGCTGGAGAAATTTGCACAGCTTGAAATCCTGAAAAAAGTTTAAAAGTTCAAATAAGCCAAGTAAATTAATTTTATTAAATTGTGTATTTTTTATAATTTATTTTGTTTTTTGTCTATTTTTGCTTATTGTAGTTTTAGGTTTTTTAAATTTTCCATTTTTTATTTGTTTTAATCACAGTTGAAAATACATATTTCTGTAGTAAAAATTGTAATGTTTTGAACGATCCAAGTAATCAACCAATTAGAAATAGTTAATAATAAATTATAAAAAAAGATTGTTTGGACCATCTTGTCAATGATTACTTTTATTACCAAATAAATAAAATAATAAAAATAAACAAACATGTAATTTAACATTTATGATAAGAAAATTCCTTATTTATCTTAACCCATTCAATAAAGTTTAATGTGCCACTTTTAAGATCCATAGGTGGTCCTATTTACTGTTTAAGAGGGGTACCCCTATCACGTGAGACAAATTTTATATAATGTATATACTTTGTATGGCTTTAATGTATTTAAAATATTTATGTTCAAAGAGAATTTTAGTTGCCTTCCATTAAAAGTTTTTTTAAATTATAAAAAAAAACCTTTCTCTACGACTACTTAAGAATAGTAACATTCTAGTGTAATTTTTGATCATAGAAAGGATGTTTTTCTGCAATACTGTGCGAGAATATTCCTACTCTTGTTTAAGAATGGTCACAAGTAACGACATCTCCTGGCTGTTTACTAAACGTAAAAAATTTAAAAATATTTAAATATTACTGTATTATTTATTAATTAAAAAATAATAGCAGTTGTATAATTAAAGTTTAGGCACAAAAAATTAGTTATATTTATTGTTTTTCAAAAATACAAATCAAAATTATAATAAATTTGATATTAAAATGATAAACCAGTTACCTACTATACCGGCTTTGAAGTTTTGACACATTCAAAAAGTTTAAAAAAAGACCTTTAAAATGTAGAAAAAGAATAGATGTTGACATAGATTACTTGTAAAATTAGTTTTGTATTTGTTACAATTTTATTTTTTTATTAGTTAGTGTAAATAACTATTTTTAATTATAATAAAGATTTAGGCATACCATTTGTTTAAATTTATTATAATTTACATTATAAAATTGTGACGGCACAAAATGGTTTGACAATACAAAAACTTAAATGTCAAAAACTGCTTGGTTTCTTTTCTCTGTTTAAAATTATATAAACACGTTTGGAATAGCATATTCCACTCTCGTAAAACCGTCACACTCGCCTTCGGCTCGTGTGTCAAATTTTTTCTCGAGCGGAATATGCTGTATTCCAAACTTGTTACAGAATGTACTATTCTAATATTTAAAAAACAAATACTGGGTTTATATCACATGTTACATGTCATTAGTTATCTTATTAGACAAAATTTCTTTGGGATTAAGACTAAGAGTATAATGCAATTGTTTTATAAACCCGTCATGAAACATTGGTGGCCATGTTCCAGTGCAGTTCTGAAAACTCGCGCTGCAACTCGGCGCTACGGACTTCCGCTTCCGCAACGGCCGCCGCCCTCGAAAAGGAAAAGTACGCGGAAATGGAGGAAAACGTGAAACGCTTTCTGTTCGGAAAAAGCGAGTTCATGAAAACCGTCGAGCTTGGACGGCTCAAATATCAAATTTATTGTGCCGCAGAACAGGACACAAATACCACAGAAACTGACATTTGAACTTGAAAGCTTCCTTTAAAATATTTGACGTTTTTTGTTCTTCTATTTCAATTTAACAAGTTTTTTATTATTTTGATAGGGTCTTCCTTTTTTCACCTAAAGTCTAAAATTATAGTTATTTTTTGCCTATTTAAAAAAAATTAGCTCAAGTTGCAGTATTAATATAATAAAGTATTAAATATAACCATTTTTTTTCTATATAATTATTATATTCTATAAGCTTTAATCCTATTGGCTTCCATTTTTTATTTTTATTTTCTTTATCTTTTTAGTTAATAATTCAGCAATGAAAAATTTGAGACAATCTTTTTGTTGTAAACGATATCATATCTAGAGAGACCAATGGAAAAGTAGTTACAAAAAGTATGGCATCTAAACATCATTTTTTTAGTAATCAGGTATGTACAGTTTATTTTTTTTATTTGGACTTTCTTCATTGCCAAGCCACAACTTTGAATGCTTTAGAATGCAATATTGTATTAGTTATGAAGTCCAAGTAAAAAGCAAACTTTATTTAACAAACATAACAGTTAAAACTGTTAGTTAAAAAAAATTATGAGTTCAAAATTTTTTTTATTCTTTAGATTGTGAACGCTTCACAATTCGTTTTTTTTTAAATTCGTATACCTACAGTAAAATGTTCTATTTATAAGATATTTTCTTAATCTTCCTATTATGTATTTTTTGTATAATTAAAGTTTTTTTTAAATATTTATTATATAATATTAATAACCTCAAAATGTAAAATTAGAATATATACCGTTGTAGCGGTTATTGTAATAAAAATTAAATATCAGCTGTGATTAAGTGTATGTGAGATTATTATATTAGAAATATACAAGGTGTTGCATTATGGATATTTTAGAAACACCCTGTATAACAATACAAAATAGATATCTGTATAAGTTATCTTTCTTGACCAAAAAACGTATCTAGTTGTTTTATGTATAGTTTATAATTTATATCACATTTATAAATGAAGATAATTTTTATATGAAATTTTACAGTTTAATTTTTTATAGCTATACCTAATGCACAATCTTTTAATTTAACGAAAACGTGTAATTAATATAGGAATACATAGATAAGTCGTAATTATTTATAATGACTGATTTATTTTAATTTGTATGAATATGTAGATAGGAATATATAATTTAATTGAAAATGAATACCTAATAAAGTTGTGAGAATTAACCTGTCTTCTACAATGTATAAACTTAGATGAAAATAAATAATTTTATCAAGAATTTTGTGTTTTTACTAAAAATCCCTTGAAAAATTTAATTCAGAATAAAAGTCGAGGCACAATGGTTATGTCCCCCGATGGTGTTACCCTGTGATATTTAATAAAACTAAATGAGTTTGACCTACACTTTTATTGTGTTTTGATCTTTCATAATTAAGTATATTATTAAGTATAGATATTACAGCTCAGGTTCCAGATTTTTAACCGCAATTAATTATTTTTTACAATGTTTTAAAAGTCTAAAACCTATCCTCCGTGACTGTTACTCTTTCTAGGTTAACCTATATGTTTTCAAATATCTGAGGTAGTAAAAGCATACTATAAATATCAGTTCACTAAGTAAATTAAACACATCCAAAGCAATCAAATCAAATTAAAATATTATTAAAAATTAAAAGGAATAATTTTTATAACCATTTATGTAGGTGTTACAAAAATCGATTCTATCCTCCGTGAATCTGTTTTTGCTTTAAATTTTATGCAACGGATGGCGCTTTAATCATTTTAAATAAGCAAAAACCTCTGTTTACGACATTTTAGATGCATATGATTCCTAAAGGTTAGTTTGAATTTATATGCAGATTAGAGTGTTGCTGTTTTATAATTCAAAAGTTTAAGTTCATTAATTTGCTATTTAAAAACCTATCCACCGTGAAGTGTAATATCTCAGTAAGTAGATTTATTTCATAAATATTTTATGTATGTACAATTGTATTAAAAAAAAATATTAAGGTGTCAAAAGATACAATAACTTATTTAAAATATACAAAGGGATGTTTTAAAAAAACATACGAAATCCTAACCTCCATGAAGCTATCTTCCGTGAAGCTCTAATATTCAAAATGTATGATTTCTAAAATGCTTGCATTAGTGCAGAACCACTTATGTTATGTTATTACTAGACCTGGTGGCTTCCCAAAAACCCCATCCTAGACTAACAGTGAAACAACCAAAAATAAAAAATAATCATTTTCACTTGGGGGACATCTCAATATATTCAGCCATATATAATCTTATATCTTGTGAGGTTAATCAATTAACGTTATTAAAATTGTACTTAAATTACAAATAAAATCATAATAATACATAATAGTTTTTCGAAAATTTTCGCTTTTTTAATACATTTATGACAGACACAGAAACGTCAATTGACATTTATGATAAATAATTTTTGCTTATTTTTCTCGATATGAATGTCAAAAATTATTTGCCGTGTGTCCGTGATTTATGACATAAAAATATCATTATTCGCAGAAAATGTGTACAAAACTGTTATTTCGTGTGACTTTGAGGTTATATTGAAAGGAAATCGTGTTTTCATTCATGAAAAGCGTCGAAAATCCGCGAAAACCGCACACGTTTTCATTCAGACCCACCAAATCCAGGCGGCCGGTTCGACGCGCGCGCGCTCTACGTCATTCGCGTTCAGACGTTTGTCGCATACGGACGTGCGGTGTTGTCGGCTCTAACGTAAACGAAAAAGACGCGATTTTCTCTAAACTGTCAGTGAAAACGCAAGTTTTGTGGTGATTTTTAGTGAAATGTAATCTGGTTTTGTGCCCAGCTGCGACTGTCACTCTGCCAAAATGACAGATTCGGAATCCAGCGACGATAGTTGGGAGAAGTTTTTCGGTAAGTCGGTTTTATGTCAAAAATTGTATTTTATGTAAAAAATTACTTAAAAACATATAAATATTGATTAAGGGCACTAGGAACTCATGCAATTAAATGTTGACAATGCCTATAAATGTATTTATTTCTCTTGAATGTTTGAAATGTCATAAGGTATACTTTTGTAAATTTCTCAAAGATGTCTTCGTATTTGGTGGCTTATGAGGGAAAATTACTTTAAAATCGAAAGAATGAAAAACAAAAACATTTAAAAATGACATTACCTTGTCTAAAAAGGCATTTATTTATTTGAAATTTCTTTCAGAAATGTTATTTATGTTTATTAATTATAAAAAAATGTTGACACCCACAGATATCTGTGATATTGCACCAGTTTTAATGTCCAATTTGACATTAACCGCTACCGACAGGTAGGTATCATATTTAAAATAAATAAATAATATTTATCATAGGTATTATCGTTAATATGATATTTACCTTTTATGTTACTTTCGCAACTTAATTTATTAAGTAATTTTTAATTAAACTATTCAAATATTTATACAATTTTCTAAGAAAAATTTTGCAAAATAAAAAAAATATTTTCTGGTTTTGTTTTATTCTAGGGCTTTCAAATTATTTATCTTTATAAAATTGCCAAGGCTTTGATTTTGTGACAGTTGTCAAAATGGCAACTTAACAAAACAAAATAGGTATTCGGCATTAATTCAAAGAAATCTAGATTTTTCAACGTCTTAATATTAAAAAAATATATCGACTAAAGTAATTTTCTTCACATCTGCTGATCTGTTTATGTTGTTTTAACATTTCATCTATCAAATGATCGGGTTCAACGATAAATGATAAATAAATCGCTTTTTTATTTAATAACATTTGGCCGCACGAAAATAGTCGGGCTTTTAATTTCCATGTCAATAGTTTCGATGACCTCTTCAATAAACAAAAATCGGATTGTTTATTATTAAGGCACCAACTTAATTTAATTTATGATTTGTTGGTGGAATTAAGTAGCTGGAAGTGCAGAAATTTAATGAGTAACTAGGTTTAAGGTATTTAATAATATTACTAGAAAATAGAAACATATTTATAACAAAATAATGTCAAAGCAAAATTTAAAAAAATACAAATAATCAGGAATTTTTTAAAACAAATCATTATAGAAAATGAAAAAACTATAATAAAATTCATTTCATGAGTATGCTGAAATTAAAAAAAAAATAGTACCTATATTATTATACGAGAGATAATGCAGGCTAATATTCACGAGGATGAGGTTTACGTCTCGAGTCGCTAGACGAGAGACCTAAATCATCCGAGTAAATATTACGCATAATCTCGAGTGTAATACTATACTTTATCTACTCCAAAAAGTAGATCATTAAATGATTTTCAAAATTAAGTAAATAAAATCTGACATCTGTCAAATGGTTAACCTTACTTTTTACCAATTTTAAATGTTATTATAGTCGCCTTCTTCCAATTTAAAACTCGATTGCATGGAGCCTACACATGTAGGCTCCATGCTCGATTGGTTCAAATCACAGTGAATACTGCAATCGGCCAATCACTGATGCCTAACAACGTGAATACTGAGTTTATTATTCACGTTGTTAGGCAGGAAATTTATAATGCTTAACAATATTCACGAAAAAACACCAAAATTATGCAATAGGAGTAATAATTAGTATATATGTTTGATAAACGCCATTTTATACACGAATTTAATTTAGGCACGAGCGAGCTTGCGAGCGAGTGCTTAAATTAATGAGTGTATAGAAAAGTTTATAAACGAGGTGCATACTATACTTTTTCTACGACAAATACTTATTATTATCTTAAAATGATTTAAATCAAAAATTTGTATAGAGCGCCATCTATGAAACAACAGGGGAAACTGTCAAATGTCACATTTTTACATTTTATAAACACAATTATAAAGGTTATAAATCGAAATATATCTTGAAAATAGACAGTTTTTCACAGTGAAAGTAAAGGAAATGTTTTATGAGGACTTTACAGTAGAGTCCGTGCCCGAATTTAAGTTATAGTTTACTGCCGGCGAAATTAAAAGGTCAGTACAATGTTCATATAAACTTTTCAAATATTGGCGTTGAGAAACTATTTAATATTTTTGTATTGAGATAATTAAATAATTTTCACATTTAGTGTTATTTTACAAGAAAGGTACTTTATTTTAACGATTGTATGACATTTGACAACTGTCAACTAACTTAAAACTAACTTCAGCCCGTGACTAAAAACCTGTTGCTAACTTCAGCCCGTGACTAAAGCGCCGTAAAGCCACAACTTGTCAGTGTAAATTTAAAAGGTCACTTAGTGTCATGGAAACATGTACGATAAAGGGCGTTTTAAAGGTGGGAGTAGAAAAAATTAATTAAAATACAACTTTAAAATCGATATAAATCATAAACTACTCTGGTATGGCATTATTTCGCCATTTTATGTCATTTTTATGGTATATAAAAATATTTAAGTAATTTTTTCTTTACTTTTCTTTTAAAATAACAATATTAAAAAGTGAAAATATTAGAAATTATTTAAAACCATAAAATTAAAATCCATAAAAAATAATTGCAAGTTATAAAATTTGTCTAAAACTAAAATTACAAAATAGGCAAAAATAAAAATAAAACATCAACATCAAAGCTTTGTTTCAAAAGTGCTGATTTTGGTCAAATTATTTTTTTTTAAAGACAATTCAAATTAAACAATTTTTGTTTCTTTTTCAATGTTTAAATTTTGTGCATTTTTTTCATGTTTTCAAGAAAATTCCTGCAATTGTTTTAATGTAAACAACAAAAAACATAAAATTAATTCTTTGTTCGCATCTCGGTCTCGTACAGAATACGCCTGCAACTAAATAACATAATATAAAGTCCGAAATCAGATAACATGCGTTATTTACCAGGAAAAACTCAGTATGCAGCAGGACTGCTCGGACGCAGTCTCTCCTGCAAACGTAAACGTATTGTGTTACTGTAAGAGCATTATGTTGTTACTTTTTCTCAGAAACTGATAAGAATACCGACATTACCGTCTTTATTTTGTTTGTTTTGCGACTTGACCTTTGAATTTTTTACACCTTTGCTTATTGAGTTTTAGTCGTCTGCTTATTTGGTTTAACATGCATTTTATCTAGTGATGCCACGATTATTGATTTACGATAACGGTAACGATTTTACACCCTTTAATGGTATGCGCGCGGAATTGTGCTCGGGCCTGAGCTACTTTAAAGACCTCATTAATGGGTTTCGTTAAGTATAAAATTAAAAAATGCATGTGAAAAATTAACGCTTTAATGCTCGATCCTCTTCCCTGATGTTTTGGAGAAAAGTTTTTAGAATGACTTAGAATATAAAATCATCATTGAAAGAGATGAAGCGTGAAAAAGAAACAGTTTAATTGTTTTTTGTCATTTTCACATTTTTTTCTTTTTCTTTCTTTTATTAATATAATCTAGCATAGTTTTGGCCTTTTGCCCCCTTTTACGCAAAAAAACAACAAATTTTTCTACCCCCACCTTTAAAACGCCCATCGTACATGTTTCAATGACACCAAGTGACCTTTTAAATACATATTGACAAGTTTTGGCTTTATGGCGTTTTAGTCACGGGCTGAAGTTGGCAACAGGTTTTTAGTCACGGCCTGAAGTTAGTTTTAAGTTAGTTGACAGGTGTCAAATTTCATACAAGTCTTCTAGTAAAAAAATACTAAACGTAAAAATTATATTATTATCACAATACAAAAATACAAAAGAATTACCTAAATAGTTTCTCAACGCCAATATTAAAAAAGTTTTTTATGAACATTGTAATGACCTCTTAATTTCGCCGGCAGTAAACTAGATTTAACTTAATTATTTAAAAGTATAGTATGCAATTTCTAGACACTCATTTACCTAAGCACTCGCTCGCAAGCTCGCTCGTGCCAAAATTAAATATGTGACTAAAATGGCGTTTATCAAACTTGATACATAACATACTATTATATAAATAATGTATATCTATTTTGCGTTCATAATGATTTCATTATAACACTGCTTTCTGTGCTGTGCACCCAAAATTTTGATTTTATAGGTTATAATATATTATATAGGTTAAAACCTATATATATGTAGGTTATAATATTTTTATAATTTTTCTAGTACTTACGGGACTTTTTGGCAATAAATTTTGTTTAGCACCAAAGAAAATTCTTTTTTTCTTCTTTAACATTAACAGCCGCTTATTGAAAATAATTAAATTAAGGACGGCATGGCGAATCGATTTTGACATTAACTGTCAAATCAATGACTGTGATACCAACTATCTAAAGTAAAATTCGACCAAATTAAATTTAAGGTGTAAAATTAATTCCGTTACAAAACTCGCTCCTTCGTCGCTCGTTTTATAAATTGTCCGCGTGCGACAAAATTACGTCTTATGACATTAGTTCTTTAATATACTATTTTTTCACTTATTTTATTTGTTAGTAATAACAACAATTAAAATTTATAAAACATTTAATGATATAATCAAAATAATTTTTTCTAAAATTGTAAACTTTGATGACTAAATAATAATTTTAGATTTTTTTTGCAAAATACTTTCATACAAGAATGTATTTATTTATTTATCTAAGGTACAAGTTAACATCAAAAAATCAATTGCATTTTAACTTACCAAAAACCAAAAACTTACAATGTTGTTTCAGTTCTTAAAATTAACATACGTGTAGAAGAGGAATATATTAGATATACGTATTATACGTATATGTAAATGTTAATTATTGACAGAATATCCTAGTTTATTCTGAATTACCTATAGGTAATATATTGAAGCGATTTTGATGAAAAAAAAAAACGAAAAAAAATCTCCAGTCATTGGGTCGAAAAATTAAAATAGTTTAAAATGCTTAAAAAAAGTTGTTATTTTTGTGTTGTTTTAGGAGTTAAAATTAAAAAAATTGTCCTATTTTTTTAGCAATAATGCAGAACAAAA